TAAATTTAGAAAAATTTCCCATTAAGCTAGAAATAGAAACTCTAATTTCAGCTACAAATATTAGCAGCTCAAAGCAAATAGAGTTAGAATTTAAACAATTAATTGAAAAAAAATTCATAGTCAGATAAATCAAATAGATAAATAAATAGAACAAATCAACCAAATTCAAGATAATTTAAAACAGAAATTAGAAATTTTGGAACAACTAATAAGATTTTAGTTTATGAGTAGTGATAAAAAAGCTAATAAGGACTACCAGATTATTTTAAAATAAGCAGAAGATTTTCATAATAACCTAGAAGGAATCAGTAGCTATCAGGGAATAAATCAGTCAGATAAAATATCAGTAAGACAAAATAATATAGAAATTTTATTTCTAGTCAGATTGTGTGAAAAATTTGAAGAATTATCAGAACAACTACACAGTTTAGAAAATCGTTTAGCTTCTCTAGAAAGAATAATACTTCAAAAAGGAAAAAGAATAGAAGGACAAATAAACAAACCCCAATCTTAGGTAAACGAAGAAGATATAGCTAGATATTTCGAAAAGCTTAAATTACCAAAGAAACCTGTTTGTAGAACTTACAAAAAATAAAAAATGTTTAAATAGCTAGTAAAAGGAAGTAGTAGTAAAAAGCGTAATGAGGAAGAAGATGTTAAAATGGAAGAATTTATAGATGTAGAACAACAAATAGAAAAATTTAAGAAGGAAAAATTAGAATTAATTCCAACTAAATATGTATATAAGCTAGGTAAGATTCATAAAAAACAATATCTATTTAAACACTATGGTGAACAAATGATTAGTGTAACTCATGAAGATGAAAAAATAGAGCTAAATTTAATAAATAGAGAAAGTTATAAATACGCTGTAAATGTACACCTCAAAATGACTCACTTAGGATTAGTTGTGGTAAGAGTTAAGGCTTTAACTAGTGAAAATTTAGGAACTAAAGTTTTTGTATGTCTTTATGATGATAGACTTAACGATGTACAACAAAGTATTTTAGACAACTATGAATTATATATGAATTCAAAAGGAGGAATAGTTTATTTTACACCAGATTTTTTATTACCAACCTCAACCTTTCATAAAAAGATAAAAATAGGGATAAAAAGTAGAGGATACAAAATGAAAAAAGGAGAAAAGAATTTATTAGTTTGCACATGATTTTTAGGCTTAGCAGTCTCAAAAAGCAATACTCATTATAGACTTACAAATGATCAGATAGTTAATTTATAAGGCGCAAAGGGAATAAAGGCACTACCAGCTAAAAAATTTAATTCTGAAGATAATGCAACACTAGATTGGAATTTAGGAGATTTTCTAGGACAAAAGAGATTAGCCCCTCAAGATAACTTATTATATCAAAAAGCAGATAGAAGCTATACAGTAAGGTTTACTCAATATACGTATGTAGCACCAGAAAAATCTAAAGATGATGAATTTAGCAGTATAGATAGGGAAGAAAACCAAGATAATCATAGTGACATAAATCAGTTTATGTAATGACAGAAGAAAAAACAATATTACAAAATAAAATATATAATATTGATGAGATAGATTTAGAAAATTTCACCCTACGCGACATGAATAAAATATTAGATGCTAGATACTTCGAATACTTTTCCAGAGGAGATACCCATGATGAAGTAGTGTCATTTTTAGATCAAGAATCTCATACAGAATATGTAGACGATATCATAGAAGATAAAATACATCCTAGTAGAATATTTAAAATACCAAAACAATCTAACTTAGAAGATACTTTTTACATGAACACAGAAAGCACAGGAACTAGTAACCCACAACCAACGGCAGAAGATTCCGTAGAACCAATGCATTATGCAGTAAGAGGAAGAAGATCATTAGCTAATTCAGGGCGTAGTAAGGCAGACCCAAATAAAAGTTATAGATTTCATAGAAAACATAGACAACCAGATATGAGTATACAATTATAACCAGCTAATAACCAAGGAACCCTTTTAGATTTAGCTAGATTCGATCCTCAGATATGGCAAGAAGTGATAGAAAAATGGAAAAAAGATGCGGTAAAAGCATGGATGAGTAATCCCTTTGAATCAACAGATATGTGGGAATATATGGAAATACTTTTAGAAGATTCAGCTTTTAATATATATTTAACTTTTAAAGGAAAATATGAAGAGACAATTAGACAGCTTAAAGGACTAGGAGATAATCCATGGAATTTTACTAACTTTATAAAAGAAATACTTATAGGATATGGCCCTTCTAGAAGAAATGATTATACACAAAGCATAACATTAACTGAGTTAGATCAGATAACATTAGGAAGTTGGAAATACGTTGTACCCTTTAGTAAAGAATATTTAGCCATAGCAGCTAGAATTAGAAAAAACTTTGATGAAGAAATAAGAAATAAATATTTTAGAAAATTACCCGGAGAACTAGGAAGAGAAATAGAAAATAAATGGTCAATTTATTACGCAAACTTACCAGCAAAAATTGCTTCAGGAGAAGTAAAAATAAGAGGAACTTTAGGAATAGGACCTAGAATAGTTTTTACATTTCATAAGCTCAGAGAAAAATGTATAGAAGTTAAAATACAGAAAGATTTGAAAAAACAAAACTATGGTTTCTATAGCAGCGTAATATATACTCCTCAACAATATGAAGATAAATATAATAGGAAAAAATATGGAAAATATAGAAAAGAAAAATACTAGAAGAAAAAATATAGAAAACCATGGAAAAAACAAAAATTCATTAGAAATAGTAGAACTTTTAATAGGATAAATTATAAGCGACTACCCAAAGAAGAGAAAGATAAAAGAAAATAAAGATATGTTAGAAAACCTAATAGTAAAAAATGCAATTGTTTTATATGCGGAGAACCCAATCATTTTGCAAAAACTTGCCCAAAAAGGAAAAGGCCTAATACTAATAAACAGATAAAAACTAATGCTAATACTAATTTTGATATAGAATGTTTAGAAGCAGAAAATAAACACCTTAAACAACAGTTAGAACAGTTTCATACCAAATACCCTTTAAAAGATAAATTGGATGAAGAACATATGAACTCTTTAGAATTAGTCAACCTAGTTGATTCTCAACCCTTTAGTCAGTACTCTCAAGCACAGTCAGATAATACATATTTACCATTTAATTACCCTGTTATACCCAAGCCAAATTTAGTTGAGATTTATTATGTAATTAAATTTGCAAAAAAAACCCTTATTATAGATGTCATGATAGATACAGGAGCCAGTAAATCATATATTGAACAACACATAGTCCCACCAGGATGGAGCACAGCTTTAACAACCCCAGCTTTAGTCAGTATAGCCGATGGAACTAAACAGACATACACACATTGCATCAATAGAGCACAAATTAGTTTTCATCACATAGGATCTCGAACTCAACATATAGAATGGTTCCCTTTTCCTCAAGTTTAGATTAGGAATACTCGACAAAATCATCCTTTCATCTTAGGACTTAACTTCATACTTAAGTCTACAAGGCGGCATGTTTATCAGCCAAAACAACATCAGTTTCTTCAAACGAACTGTTCATACACCCACAGCATATGCCCTTAGCACCATTGCCCATTCATCAGAGTTGCGTGCGAAGCGTGGTGGTACCATAGGAGTAGATTCTGTTCCTGCTAGTTTTTTATTTCCTAGTAGAAACATTTTTCTTGAACTAGCCCAAAAGTATATACCTGATGAGATAGCAAGCTACTAGAATGAAAAGGAATAAAGTGTATCCCAGCCAAGCATAAAATGTACCTTAGAGGAACTTCAACATTTCCAGGATATCTAAGACTTCTTAATCGGAGACCCTGGCCATGTAGAAAATTTTCACTCAGAGATCAGCTCAATAAATAGAGGAAATTTGCTAATAATCTTCTATTAGCGTATAATGGAAATTATGGACATCTAGTTTGCGAAGATAGAAATTAAAAGATATACTATAACCTAGCTATTCCAGGTTATCCCTTTAACAAAAAAACATTCGTCGATGAAAGTCAGTATCCCAATTACCAACATAGCGTTTCTCATGAGTCACCACTAATGGGAGAAGATGACCAAGATAACCAATGAGGGAATGAACCAGATATGGGAGAAGATTTTTACGACCAACTTTCAGCAGCAGATCTTCAGCAGATCTTGAAGATCTTTCAGATAGAATATATGGGTAAATATATATATATATATATATATATAATTTTTCAGCCCAAAAAAGGTAAAATATAACAATATTTTATTTTATTTATTTAACCTGTACCAACTACTAGTGTACATACAAAAAAAAGAGGTTGGCTACAAACTAAAGGATATTGTTGGGTTCATGAGAGTTTATTACGGGTCCTGTTTTAATTATTTAAACCGTTCAATATGTAAAAATTATTGAGTACTATACACTTATAAAAAATCACGTTAATCGAATATCAATAACTATGTAATCAAATCAGTTTTATATAAACAAAATGAATTGTAAAATAATAAATGGTTGATAGAAATCTTATTCGATAAAATAACTATCAATATTTGATCAATGTAATTATTTACAGATATATTTACATATTAAATAATTTAAATTATCAAATGAGACTCGTGTGAGCCTCCACGGATCCAACAATATTCTCCCATCCGACCACTTATTGGAAGGAAGTCCAGCCCCAAAAAAAACATGCCTCGCTAGTCGCTTACAAGCCACTGATTGAAGACTAGCTGGTATGTGTAGTATTTAGGTAGACGAGTGAACCAGGGCCGGCTCGTCCGATTCCACACTGGACTCAGTTAATACTAGTTCTGGTTTGTCGCATAGTCGGTTATCCTCTCCATCCGCATCATCAAACCCTCCCTCACCCCAGTCCCAAATCTCCTCTCTCTCTCTCTCTCTACAATCACCAACAACATCTCCTCTTTCCCCTTCACATTCCTCTCTTTCCCAACCCACCATGAAAATTTGAAATCAGTTTTCTCTCTATTTCTCTCTATCCAAACAAAAAAAAACCCAAAAAAAAAAAAAAAATGTCTCACGCAGTGTTCCAAACGGCCCAAATCATGCCAATCAATACCCAAACCATCCCAACCACCAAAATCTTATCGCCAAAACCCTTATTGCCCGTTCACACACCCGTTCACCGGCTAGTACCGGTTTCCGGTAAGCTCCTCCGCAAGGGTTTGGTTGTGAAGGCTTTGGCGCCGCCGTCTTCGGCGGCGGAGGCGGTTGACGGAGACGTTATAGCTGGATTGGAACGGTGTTTCAGAGCATCGCCGCCGTCTGAATCGTCGTCGTCATCGTCTGCGATGTTCGGTCCGGTTATGAAGGGAGAGTACGGTGCTTTTGGTGCGGTGACTTTGGAGAAATCGAAGCTCGATATGACGCAGAAGCAAACCCAATCAAGTCCTGAGGTATGTGTTCTCTTCTTGCTTGATCACTTTCTGTTTGGTTTCTGAGAAAAGTATGGAATTGAAAAGATGCGAACGTGACACATCAGTTTGCTGAATTGAGTTTTTTTTTCCTTCGTTTTCTGGAAGAAATTAATACAATGCTTAATTTTGGATGCAATCTTGTATTGTTATTTAGTTCTTGAAATTTACGAGCTACTAAATGGAGTATTAGGGCACAATTATTGAGGAGTTCTTCTACTGTGTATCTATTGCTTCTTGTCTTTGTGGTGATTTCTTTGTAAGGCTACTCTTGGATGCTCTGTGTTAGTGTTTACCCTAATTGCCAACAGTTCAAAAACCATAATACTCTTGCATATTGAATGCGAGTGAAGAAAGAATGCTGAAAAATCCATTTGGTTGAATTTGAATATGTGGTACATGGATAGAAGGATGGATGTGGATTGGATTCCTTAATTTGCCATATCCATCTTCTTATTGGTGAAAGCAACCTAGCTTTTTTGCACGTGTGCGGTCTGGTTCACCATTTGTCGTTTCTGTGTTTTTCAAAATCTCATGGCTCTCAATTGTTGGATTTGGTGCGGGTGGCTAGCAGGCTTCATGTGCTCTCCCAACGTAGTGAGTGTTGTCAACATCTTACGAAACAAGATATAAAACTTACGACACCATATTTTTAGAGATAAATCGATGTGTATTGATTATACATATCTTAAGTTAATTTATCTTACGATACATTTACTATACATGATGCCATCTATGATACACGATACATGAATACTTAAATTTCTTTAGCAATTTTGAACAGTAATTGAACTTGTTTTATGTAAATTAATATTATTAGAAATTTTCATTAACTTGGTAAAAAAATATATTTTTTAGATGAGAAAGGTAATTGTTTTTTTGGTCTAGTCTTTTTGACAAATAACTACTTGTCTGATATTAAGTATATTGTGTTATTGGTTTATATCTACTTACACAGTTTAAGCGTAGACTTTTCTGCCTTGAATAATCTATTTGAGAACTTAAAAATTATAAATTAAATATTGAAACCCAAATGGTGAGTTAAGATAATATGCAAACATGTTACAAAATTACTAAGAATGAGAAAAAAAATTGAGGGCAAGTTTGATTCGAGGATATAATAATATACTAAATTGCTATATTTTTTTTGTTATGCATATTTTAGCTTAATTTTGCATTTTATATCCTTTAAGTATTAATGAATGCATATCTTTATTTCAAGAAACCTTACTTTTGCCATTTAATGATTATACATTGTTTAGTATTTTGTTCTCACTATATATTTGTGTTTTGATAACTATATATATTTAAGTATTTTTAAAGATGTAAAATCATATGATACATGACAATTCAAGAAAAAAGAGAAAAGAAAATACACGATTCGTATCCCAATTTGACAACCATGGTCTTTAAGCATGAGCGGTGGATATATGAACTTATAGTCTCTAATCATGAAGGTGGCATTGGGTATGCAAAAGAAAATTGTTAATGGAACAGTTGGCCTGATGGTTGACTTACCCTTGACCTAGTCCCTTTTTCGAATTACTCAACGATTTGAGTTTTAGAACATTGATGACATAACAGTCCTCTGCAATGACGTCCACAAATTCCCTATACATGATAAACTTGAACTGAATTGGGGACTTGACTTCAAATAGAATTAAGTGGAAATGGATTCATATAGCTGACCCCAAGTAATTGGGATAAAGGCTTGTTGAGTTGAGTCAAGCTAAGTATATGAATATATGTAACACAAATATATATAAATATGTTAGTTGGTGGTTGAGTATATGACCAACACAAAAATTGAAAACATGACAAGTAAAACCTAGTTAAAGTCGAGGATTAGAATTTCTTCAGTCAGCTTGAAAATGGAAATTTTTCTGAAACATTATGGAAACTGAGAAAAAAAATTGGCAATGTAAGGCTAAAGTCTTATATAATGGTTTTTGGCTCCTTTCCCCTCAAAACCATTTATAGTCTTGGAAAGCTAGTAATGTAAGGTGGTTTATCTACATATTTTTGGTCTCTATTTTAATTTGTAATATAACAGTATGTAGGTATTTATTGCAATTTGAATACTCAGGTTAAGGATGCCCTTTTGTTTTTTAAATGAAGTTTATCAGTGCTCGGGTTGGTTTATACCAACTTATTTCTTTTTAATTAATCTTCAATTCTTGATGGAGTGACTTGTACTTTTGGAATATCATAGACTGCACTTGGAGGCGGCGGTGGTGATATTGGGAAAGGTTTAAGCCATGGTGGTGGTGATGGAGGCGACGATAATGGTGATGATGATGATTACTTTGATGACTTTGATGATGGAGAAGAGGGAGATGAAGGTGGATTATTTAGGAGACGGAAAGTTTTTCAAGAGGTTAGCATACACAGGATACACAAATGCATATTCCTTTATTTTTTTATTACCTTTTATCATGTTTTAATTGATGTTTCTCAATTACTTCATGTTGAATAATTATTAGTGTTATGTTTCCAGCTTTTTGATAGGAAATTTGTTGATGCGGTATTAAATGAGTGGCAAAGGACAATGATGGATTTACCTGCAGGACTGCGACAAGCGTATGAAATGGTGAAGTGTTTTTCCTAATCTGTACATTTGCATTAGAATTATGCGGCTGGATTCTGATGTGTGTTGTTGCGTCCAGGGTTTGGTCAGCTCAGCACAAATGGTAAAATTTCTAGCAATCAATGCCAGGCCAACCACAACTAGGTTTATTTCTCGAACACTTCCTCAAGGAATGTCCAGGGTATTCATTGGGAGGTAATTTCAAGATTCTTCATTGACATTTGCGCTAAAATTACTAGTCATATTTTCCTATTCTTTGAATTCTTTTTACTATTGGCATTCATAATACACAGAATACATGATCTCATCTGGAATATTCTTCTCATTTCTGTGATTCAAATTTCTATATGTTAGTCAAATTAGCATACAAGGTATTACCACATTTTCTTTTTTTTAAAATACGTTTTATCTATGCAAAATGTGATCCACTTACTGTATTGTTTGTTATTGTGATTCTAGAATGGAGGTTTTGTGAAATATAATTTGAAAGGAAAAGGACTTGTATTGTGGTGTTGGTCTAGAAAATTTGTACATAGAACTGGCTAATTCATAAGTGTGATAGCTGGACTGCTACTTACTGAAAACCTTGAAATTTTGGAGCTTTCTTCTTGGCACATAATTGTACCAAAAGTTTATGAACTTGTTGATTTTGGAGTGAATTATGATCTATATTTATCTTATTTTCCCTTTCGATTGTCTTTAAATAAGTTGGAAGTGTACTTTTTGTTCATTTTCTGTAGCATTATACTTGAAACCTCCCAGCTGGTGGACTAGGAAAAAGTGACAAGCACCATTTGTTGTAATAGAATGTTGACTGAAGGAACTATATCACCGGTATGAGATGAAGCTCATTCTATCGAAATACGTGCAGGAGCAACATGAATATCATTCAAGCAGCCATGAAATTCATAAGTGATGCTAGTCAAATTAAAGTCATGACCCATTTGAGAACCTGGGTCTGCTTTCTCATGATATAATGATAAGTCCATAGGGTATCCACAAATCAACTCCTGCAAACACACAGCACAACATGCATTAATGATTATCGACAATGATGTTCCAGCAAGAAGTCGATGACGGCTGGTGCTGACTGATCCTTGGTATTTGACTAGTCCGACGATGATAAACTATAGTAGTGGCGATGACAGAAGAAGCAGCGACGTGGTAGAAGCTTCCAACAGATTTTTTTGTTTTGTTTTGGAGATCAAATTGTCAATGCTCAATGAAGGAAGCTTTCAAATTTGATTTTGACAATAGTGACGTTGGTTCAAAGCAACGAGATCGTATTAAGAAAGCATCCACATTGTTCAAACAGAAATCATGGGTCTATTTGGCTCTGATACCATTGATGTAGCACCACAAGAAGAGGAAGTATTAAAGAAGAGGAAACAAGGAACCACTCCCAAGCAATATCTCTCAATATCAGTTATTCAAAAATGATATTATCTAGTCTCTAAAATCAATACATAAAAACCATATATATATAGACATAAGCACTATCTAATTAATAAACCAAAAGTAATAAGAAACTAGCTAATAAATAAATAAAATCCTATTAAACTGTAATTTCTAATAATACGAAATTTCTATATTCTTCAATTTATTGTCATCCAATGCCTTTCTGATCCTCATCAGTATAGCTGTGTACATCTGATTCTCTTTAGACCCGTCAGTGTCGGGGAGCCTTGTGGACTGGGACTGCCATTAATATATGATTCCGTTTTCCGATTCCAGGAGTCGATTTTTTAACGACAATGTCATTCTAAACTAGTCTTGATGGGATTTTAGAAATTTAGGAAGTTCTAGACCGTAAGTATCACCCATATTACTGTGCAGGTTACAGAAACTTCAGAATTAAGTATTCATTTATTGACTTTTCTGCAATAAGGAGACGGAGTGTTAAAGCACTGGAAACTAATATTATGTGCCAATATAATCTCAGTTAGACATTTCACCTTAGTGATGAGATATCAAAGAAGGGTCTGTCACTTTTTGAAATTACTGCCAAAACTGGACCTGCCGCAAGGTCTGGATTCATTTGCATCTCATAACAACATCCATATGCGATTGTTTTTTTGTTTGTATCTGCAGCTATCAAATGATAGATTGCTTTAATGCACATTAAACATTTTATTTGCAACTGAGTATTTCCTTGTGTTATTCATCTTTGTTTGTTTGTGCAGGATGATTGCAGATCCTGCATTTTTATATAGGTTTCTTATGGAGCAGGCTGCCACAATTGGCTGCTCTGTTTGGTGGGAGTTGGAAAATCGTAAGGGAAGGTAATTATTATTTTGGAGAAATATCAAATCAGTTGAGGTTTCAAAAAATAATTACAAATTAGTAAAAAAAATATTAATAATTAAGATTATAAAACTTTTTCATGTATTTGTAATTAGGGTTGCACATGAGCTGAGCCGAGCTTTCGTATGTTTGAGCTTGTTTATTAAGATTTTAACGAGTTCGAGCTCGAGCTCAAGCTCAATGAAAATTCAGCAAACTGAGTTCGAGTCGAGTTGGCTCAGGCTTGATTCTAGTTCGAGCTCGAGCTTGAGCTTGTTCACGAGCTAAACAAATTATAAATTTATATTTGCATATGAGACTAAAATTACAATTAAAATTTTGATTATATAATTATATACACAATATATACAAACATAATAAAAAAAAGTAATATCTTACTAAAATAATAATATCTACCACCAATATTATATAAATTTATTATCTATAGTTAGCTATTATTTACATATAAATAAATTTAGCTATTATTCACATTATTTAAATTTATAAATAATATATTTATCTGATATGTTTAGACTTATTTATCAAGATTTTAACGAGTTCGAACTCAAGCTCGAACTCAATGAAAATTTAATAAATCGAACTCTAGCTGAGTTGCCTCACGTTTGACTAGAGCTCGAACTTATTCATGAGCTTTAACGAATCAAAAAAATTATATAGTTACAATTAAAATTTGATTATACAATTATATAAAAAGTATATACAAACTTAATAAAAGAAAAGTCAATAACTTACCAAAATAATAATATCTACCACAAATATTATATAAATGAATTAATTATTATTTACGTATAAACAAATTTAGTTATTAGTTATCTTATTTTTTATACATATTTTTATATTATTTAATATATAATAATATATTTATTTTATTATTTAAATAAATGTTAAACGAACAACTAACGAACCAAGCTAATGAGCTGAGCTTTCGAATGTTTAGGCTTGTTTATTAATATTTTAACGAGCTCGAACACAATAAAAATTTAACGAACC